CCCTGGGGACCCCGGGGTGGCTCTATGTCAGGCCCAACCACTAGGCATTTCTCTCAGAAATTTCTCTTCCCCGAGCCATACCAGCTCTGGGCATCTCTCAGAGGTATACATTGTTTTGTTGGGTTTTTTTAAAGATTTTATTTTCCCTTTTTCTCCCAAAGCCCCCTGGTACACAGCTGTGTGATTTCAGCTGTGGGCCCTTCTAGTTGTGGCATGTGGGATGCGGCCTCAGCATGGCGTGACAAGCGGTGCCATGTCCACGCCCAGGATTCGAACTGGCGAAACCCTGGTCCGCTGCAGTGAAGCCTGCGAACTTAACCACTCGGCCACAGGGCCGACCCCGAGGTATACAACTTTTTAGGCTGAACTAAAATGGCTCCTGTGAACCTTCAGAGCCTTTCCAACCCAAGGTTAGATTGTGAGACAGGATAAAAATAGAGAAATGAATACTTACGGGAAATAAACTAAATATCCAAGAAGGGAAAAAAAAATACCAAGAGGTATTGTTGAATTTTTGTCCTCTTTTCCCTCATTTCCCATGCCTTACACACACACAAAAAGATAGAGAGCAGAGCTGAATATCTGAACATTAACACAGCATATTGAATAGAACAAAAGAATCACTCTAAACAACCGTTTGGTAATGCAAGTTTGTCAGACTCAGTATTTATTTTGAGGCAGTATTATGTTCCAGGAATTTCACGAGGTGCTTTCCCACACATCATCTCTTAACAATCCATTGAGGTAGGAATGGCCTTCTTCCTCCTAGTAAGGATAAGGAAACTGAGACTCATAGAGATTAGAGGATTTACCCAGAGCCACCAAATTCAATAAATGATAAAATCAGGCCTGAAAGTCTATCCTTCTTTCTGACTCTCAGGAATAATTGCCTCAACCTTCTCTTTTGTCATTCTTCAAGATAAGATGTTTACAATCTTTTAGGGGACAAAGACATTTTATAATTAATAGTGTATTATTTTTTAGCTTCTGCTGACAGAATACCAAAACAATGAGTGTTTGCTGAAGAGGAAATGCCAAATTAAGCAAACTGAGGAGGCAGAGCTCTTGGTGGGGGGGGGGGGGGGGCGCTTATTTATCACATAAATGGAGCTATCAATCCTTGTGAGTATCCACTCAAACTTCTCTTTGCTTCAAATTCTCGGCTCGAGCCCCACCATCTGATGGACAAGAGTTAGGAACCTCCTTGAATACTCATCTGTGCCCCCAAAGGGCTGACACCTCACTCTGGTGACAGTGGTGGGGCGTCCCCAGTATATCCAGGCAGGAGGGATGTGCAGGTTCTGGGTGCTGTTAAACTTTTAGTCCTTGCTTCCAATGAAGGTGGGGAGTGGTAGGTGCTTAGATTGACTTCCCTGACTTGGATTGACTTTCCCCAGCAAGGGAAAGTTGGTACCTGCTTGCAGAAGCCCCCTCCCACCTGAGAAGGCTCTCGTCAACATAGAGAGGGCCTGATCCTAGGGAGGCAGTGCCTGACCAAATCAGAGATTTCATCATGTTTTTCTTTCTCTGGGAAAACAAGCCTTTTATCATATATGTCGTTGTTTTATTTGTCTTTCAGACATTTGAATTCAGTCACGTAGGAACAACTTGCTTAAAGGACTTTATGGCTGACTCCATAAAGAATGTTCACTAGCAATTGAGCCATCACAGATGTGCTGATGAAGACTTTTCTGGAAACCAGATTTGGAGAAATCTGAACCGTGGCAGTTAAGCATTAAAGGAGCATATTATTAAGGGAACCAGTGGTTACTCTACTAACAAAATAAAATCTCTTTCTTCAGATAAAGAAAGTTATATTTCACCCAATTCATCTTATCTGTAAATATGAATTTCTTTTATATCTCAGATCATCTTAAGGTGAGGATTTCACAGATGATGGTCTGGTACCAAAGAGAAAGCTATTCCAAAGTTCTTCTGGGAAGTCTTCGTCATGGCCCATTATGAAGAAGTAGTGTGGAGGATTTTGACTTGGCTAACAACACAGAGATAGAAAACATGCCCAAGACTGGTGCTGAACATTCATTCACGTGGGAAAGGAGAAGGTACAAGTGTTGAATACACATAGTAAGGCCTGCCAACATTTTCACTTCCAAGTTTCTGAAAGAATAGGATTTCATCCTGGACTGGGTAAAGAGGAAAAGGCCAAGCCAAATTTTTTCTCTGATGTCAATGTGTGGCTTCCAGGAATTCCAACAGGAGCTGCCCTTGTGACTCCAAGGTCAAAATCCACAACTCAGGGGATTTCTGTTCCAGTGAAGCCAGCTGAGTGTAGGTGTTTTCTAAGGGAGTAAGTTCACTTTCCAGAAGTTGTAGGAGTTTTGGAAGTAAAGACTCCCACAGACAATACTAGGGACATTGGGACGCTCAAGAAGACAGTCAAGCTTCTCGATTTCAGGCTTCATCCAATTATATCATTTGAAATAGATTCAAGAGATTTTATATTTCGCTTCCACCTCTTTCTACTTAAACATCCAAAGACGCCAGAAGGTTCAAGAATTTCATCTAGGAATAAAGATTCTTTAGTCTCTCTCTTCTCTGGACTACAACCTGAAAGACAATTCCTTGTTCCATGCCCCAACTGCCTACTCCTTACATCTCCCTGCAGGTTGTTGATTTCATCCTGGTTGGGTAAACAAATATGGCGCTTAATTACATTGGTCCATTCAGTTTGACATCATCCTTTGCAAATGGCTTGCATTAAGATCCAAATCAGCCATCTGGAATCTGGAACATGCTCTCTCCTATAGGGTTGCTCTTTCAATGCCAGATCTGGTCTGAACTTGAGAAACAATATCAACTGTATGAGTGATATTTTAGCCCAGAGTTTCCTCTTCTCTGGAAAATTCAGAGAATTGGAGGCACCATTCCCCCTTGACCCAATGCAGGAAATTGTGACTGTCAGTGATAGAGTGAACTCACAGACAATGTCTGAACTGGGATTAACACACACTAATGCACAGTGGGCAAGTATGGTCCAAATTCAATAGCTGCAATTTATGAAAAGAAAGGGCCGTGGGGGAAGGGAACGACTGAGGAGTCTAGGCATCTGAGTGATGTTTGAACTTTTCCCTTTAACAAGGATCTGTTTTTCTAAAAACCCAACTCTCTCAAATTAGTTGGGTCATTGTTCCTTGGGAGTTTTATTTCTCTATGGGGAGGATTTCCAACACACAGCATTACTTCTTTTCATCCTTAATTGTGATGTCTCCTGCTAATTGAAAGCTAGGCCTTGTGGTTTCCAGAACACTAATTTGTGATGGTAAAACCTTTACCTATCATAAATTATTTCATTGTTCAACAAGGATGTAAAATAATTAATTGGCTATTTGGCAGATAAGTTCAGCATTTGCAGGATCTGTTTTATAAGAAATTTTATTGATGAAAATGTGTCTAAAGCTTTAGCAATGCACTTGGCTTTAGCATTTGGCAGCAAGGAGACAAAATCTTAAAGCCAAAAACCTCCCTAGGGCATGAGGCAAAGTACAACTTCGCATCTATGTTCCTGCTGTAGGTCATTGGGGGTCTCCTTTTACAGACGATTGGCAAAAGGTTTCAGTGGCTGTTTTATGATCCGTTTTGATTTTGTATGTGAGCAAATCTCACATTTCGGCCATGAGACATACCCATGTTTTACCACATTGCCCTTAAACGATTTTTCAAGAAGTTGCATTAACTCTTAAAATTGACAAGAATAAATAGAGGCACCATAAATTTTTAAAGTTGAAGTCATAGGCATCACATGCTAACTTACTTATTGTTAAACTGTTGGGAATGGGGGTGTTTGGGGGGTGTTTTTTAGACACAGAAAAAATAAATACTCTAATTCATCATCAGCAAATATACTTGGCTGTCCTGAGGCTCTGACTTTTAGGAAATTAAACTGGGTCTATATGACACCAATCCAACCAGCTCAGTTCAACAAATGTCTCAAAAGAAAATCCTTGGAACTGATTCTGAAGTGGTAAATGGACAAAGAAAACCAACCTGATATTTAAGGTGACGCTAGATGAATGGCCACTGACTGGCTTCTTTGTTTGTAAGCCTTTCCATATTGTGTACAAAATCAGCTCATGGCAACACCATGAAAGTGCTAGTTTGCTCAATTTGTGCTTCCAATAAGCACTTCTTTCTGCTTCAAACACAACATCAAGAGTGGCAAAAGAGATGTAGGCAGTGCTCGCTCCTTGAATGTGTGTCATTTGCTATAACAAAGTGTGTATAATAAACACTTCCAGATTAAAATGTCTATTTCCACATTCAAATGTATTCTTCAAAATTAGCCTGACTAGGGGGCGGGAAGGATGCTGCCAGGAAAGAGCAGCATATTCAAAACTGCAAACAAGGAGGTCACACATTTGTGTGAATAATTTCCATCATATTGTCACTAAGATCAGAAGAACAGCTAAGAAAAATTGACTATCAGGCACAGTGCTGACATCTCTTTCTTGCTAACACAACAGAGTTCTGAACACGTTTCCATATAATTTCTCCTTTTCAAGAATTCATGACTTGGCTTCACAGAGTTATCTTGAGACCAAAGCAATCTATTTTGAAATTTTGAGAAAGAATGACTGTTTAAAAAATCTCAGGACAGCAAGAAATCAATAAGGAAAAGTACTGCTGTTTCTGTTCTTTTTCACGATACACTCTTTACATACTCATATGACATCTTAAATCTTGCTGAAGGCTCCTTGGTTTCTCACTACTCAAATATTTTACTCCTTCAACTCATCTCATACCCATGAGGTGCTCATGGGTCCTAGTGTCTTATGCCTGTAACCTATAGCATTATTTGTATACTCTTTTCTCTCTTTATTGGGAATTTTATAAGCTGAAGATAATTCTCCCTAAGGGATGAATCAGATATACTATGTTTTTAGGTTGATGCTGTAAAACAGTCAGATAGTGGCGCAAGGGGTGGGGGAATCTATCAAATATGAGTGACTTCTCAGCTCCATGCCAGTGATTCTAATGTATGTAACTAAATCTAAACATTATATGAATGAATAAAGAAATTGATTTTAAGGTAGAATTTTGGTGACAAAGGCAAAAGTCCTTTTTTTTGCCAAACGGAAATAGACAATTTAAAAAAAGAAAAAAAGAAAGCTTTTAATGAGTTGTATGTGTCATGGTTCTCCATAGAAACAGAACCAACAGGATAGACAGAGAGAAAGAGACAGAACGAGAAAGGGAGAGAGATGATAGGCAATATCTGTGTGTGTGTGTGTGTGTGTGTGTATGTAGTCCATCTGTCTATCTTATCTATCATCTCTTTATCTATCGATATAGATAGATATTTATGTTAAGGAATGGGCTCACACAATTAAGGGAGCTGGCAAGTCTGAAATCCATATAGGCAGGCCAGCAAGCTGGAAACTCAGGGAGGATTTCTCTGTTACAGTGCTGAGGCAGAATTTCTTTTCCACAAGAAAGCTATTTTTGCTTTTATGGACTTCATCTTATTGGATGAGGCCAACCCACATTAAAGAGGGTAATCTCTCTTGTTTAAGGTCAACTGAATGAAAAAGTTAATCATATCTACAAAATGCCCTCACAGCAACATCTAGACTAGTGTTTGACTAAACAACTGTGCACCATAGCTTAGCCCAGTTGACACATAAAATCAACCATCACAGAAATATTGAAGCCAAAGAAGAGGAAAGAATGTGAAAGGAGTACGGGAAATCTCCTTGCCCTTGTTCCACAATTAAAGAGAAGTTAGTCAACTGTGGGGTAACTTTTACAGTCACCCTGGATTGGGACATTGAAGGGAACTGATCTGAATTATAATTAAGGTTTTGCTCCAGAAAACACTCAGCCAAGAGCTGTGGACTCAGGAAACCACGCTTCTTCTTTTCATCAATCTCAAAGGAACGTTCTCTTTCTGTAATTGGTGCCGCCCAGAGAATTCTCCAGTGTGTATGGACTGCCTCTGGCCAAGGCTTCCCGGCTGCATGTGAGGGACGGGAACAGGAGTGCTGTGGCTGTGCCTGGACCCACACTCATTAATCATCCTAATGAAGTAGAGCCAGTCATCTTTGTCAAATCATTGGTCAATCAACTAACTGCAAAATATCAGAACAAGGTCTTGGATGGAGTTGATCATATTTTGGTGAGTAAACCAACTTGACTTGTTCATTTAGGAAAAAAGTGAAATGTGCTCAGTCTTAGTCATGGGCTACTTAGGGAGTTTTCCTTTTAAACCACTCCTCATAGAGGACAGGCTCTTTCCAAAAATGCTGGAGACATGTGGGCAAAGTGACACCAGTCCCTGAATAAATTGTTGCACTGATTTTTCTATGAGTAAAATATTATAAATTCAAATAACCTCTTCAGAGCATTTAAGGTACAGGAAGTGAGTCATAGAAAGAACCTCCTGCAGCCTCTGGATTTTGGCAAAAATAAAAAACCCTCATTAATTAGTGGGAAGGTAAATTTGAAAAATCTGAGTTGATATTATTTGGAAAAGAAATATCATTTATGATTTTCAAGTTCTTTCAAGTGTAATGACTTCAAAGTATTTCTTAATCCAATTCTTTTGTGAATGTGTTATTTTTTTTTTTAAATACATGAGAATAAAATAAAGTCATGTGCATGGAGACTAAAGCTGCTATGGCAAAGCAATTTATTATAATTTAATTAGTTTGTGTTTTGTTCATGTTTGCTCATTAGCAAAAGAATGAATAGGAAATTGTCTACTAAAGCAAATATTAATATTTTTAAAGGGATGTTCGTTGTATTATTCTCTCTTCTTTGTGCATGTTAGACTTACTTCATAATTTAAAATTAAACTAAAATTTGAAAGTAATTCTCCTTTTACATGAGAAAGAAAAGTTGGTATTCCAGAGCTCTGGGATTTTTTCCCTCAGGGAGCGCTTGACAGACTTTTTAGCTTCATAGGGGCAGAGACCATCCTGTAAACATCCCATACATCAGCGCGGGTTCTCCAAAGAGACAGAACCAATAGGATGTGTGTATATGTACAGAAAGAGACATATTATAAGAAATTGACTCACACAGTTATGGAGGCTAAGTCTCAAGTGCTGCAATTGACAAGCTGGAGACTCAAGAGCCAACGGTTTAAGTTCCCGTCCAAGTGTAGGAAAAGACGGTTGTCCCCGCTCCAAGAGAGTCAGGCAGAGAGCGAATTGTCTCTTACTCTGCCTTCTGTTCTGTTCAGGCCTCCCATGGATGGATGAGGTGCACCCACCTCAGAGAGGGCAACTGCTCTGCTCAGCTTACCAATTCAAACATAGTCTTATTCAGAAAAACCTTTAGAGACGTATCCAGAATAGTGTTTAATGAAACTTCTGGGCACCTGGTGGCCCAGTCAAGTTGACACATAAAATTAACCATCACATCCTCCTTATACCATAAACACACACACACACACATACACACACACACGCACATGCATACACTTGGCTGAAGGGCTGCAAAGAGGAGAAGATGAAGGCCATGCTAGAGGCAAGTGGCCCTGCCCTGCAGGGACCTTTCCCAAGAGAAGATGACATGCCAAGGAGTAGGGGAGCAGGTGAGGCATTTGCTTATTGCACAATTTATATCCTCACTTGCAACCAGGGACTTAGACTCAAATGACAGTGTTCCCATGAGTCCTGTGGAGCTGGCAAGGAAGGATTTCTGCAGCCCAGGAGCCGCAGCAAGCATGTTCTCACCATGCCTCAGAGGGGAGCACCACTCTAAGCCCCCCAGCCTGACCAAATTAGGGGGGTCAGCACAGTGCAGTAGCAGGTGTGGCAGAAGGATCAGCAGTCAGTCCATAAGAACCGGATGACCTGAACCATGTAAGTCATGGGTTCTGGTACCGTCCAAGGGAGAGATAAAAAAACAGAAATGAAAAAGACTGTTAGAATTCCCAGCACTTTGGCAAGTGGCAGGCACCTTGAAGAATTCGTTTCAATTTAGAAAAAATTGAACAGATGCTTCAACACCTTGGTATTTGTTTCATTTCATATCTCTTACACCCATAATGTACTTTAATGTTTGCAGCAGTTACTTATTAGACAATAATCTGTTTGCTAAGCTAACCGTTTTCTCCTCTACTATTAACCTACCTACAGATTTTATTTGGATCTTGCTTTCCGCTCCTATCGTTTTTCTGTGCCAGAATCTAATACAAAGTTCAGAATTGCATTTAGTTGTCACGTCTTGTTAGTTTCCTCCAATCTGCGACTCTCCCTTAGTCTTTTCTTGTGTTTTATGACATTGACACTTTGGAAAAGTGTTGGTCAGCTGTTTTGTAGAATGTCCCTCTATTTCAGTGTCATATTTTCTTGTGATTAGATTGAGGTTACACATTTTGACAAAAATATCACACAGGTGATGTTTGCACTCCTCAGTGTACCATATTAGAGGGTAAGATGTCCATATATCTAATTACTGGTCATATTAACCTTGATGATTTGCTTGAGATGGTGTCTGCCAGATTTCTCGACTATAAAGTCTCTACTTTTTCCTTTGTAATTAATCAATGTCTTGGGGAAGACATTAGGAGGCTATACAAATATTCTGCTCCTCCTCAAACGTTCACCCATTGATTTCAGGATCCATTGATGGATCTTGCCTGCAACAATCATTACTGTAGTGTTTACCGAATGGTGGTTTTTTTGTTTTCCTTATTCCTTCTACATTGACTAATTGGAATTCTTCTATAAGAAGCCTCCTCCCCATGTATTTATTTATGCAATTAATTTATATTGGTATGGATTTGTGGATATTTATTTTATTCTTTGGGCTATAATTCACTACTATTTATTTCACTACTCAAAGCTTTGGCCAATGGAATCTCCTTTGGTTGGCCCTGTGTCCTTTCAACATGACCTCTTTTTTTTTTTTTTTTTTGAGCCTTTCCTTGCATTCAGTCTTCATAAGATGTTCCAGGCTCTCTTATATTTTCCTTTCTCAATCCTAGAATCAACCACTTCTCCAAGGATCCCTGGTTGCTTTTATTGAAGAATGATATTTAGAAACTAAGAGGTGGACATAGACTTTTTTTCTTTTTTTGATGAGGATGATTGCTCCTGAGCTAACATCTGTTGCCAACCTTCCTCTTTTTGCTTGGGGGAGATTGTCCCCGAGCCAACATCCATGCCAATCTTCCTCTAATTTTGTATGTGGGATGCCACTACAGCATGGCTTGATGAGTGGTGTGTAGGTCTGCACCTGGGATCCGAACCTGCAAACCCCAGGCTGCCAAAGTGGAGCATGCGAACCCAACCGCTATGCAAACTGGCCATCTCCCAGATGATATATTTTTTAATAGAAAGTTGAAAAGTTACTTCTCAGCCTTTAAATATCACCTTGAGATATCAGTCCTTAAGGTTAGCGTCACATAGTTTGTGCCATTTAGAACATTTACTACTATTTTGTAAAATGCCTCTTCTCCCATTGTAACTACATTGTCTATTCATTCAATCAAAATCCGAGTATGTCCCAGACACTTTGGTGGGCCCTGGGTAATAAAAATGCGAACAAGACAGACTCAGTCCCTGCCCTGTGAGGCTTACAGACTTCTAGAGGAGCTAGACTTTAAGTGAGAAATTACAAAACAATATGCTAAGTACTGAGATTGAGGCAGCATGAGGTATGGCAGATTCACACAGAAAGAACATTTAACTTAGACTCGGAGTGAGATGAGGGTGGTGGGGTAAATAAAAACATCTTGGAATAAATCCTATCTAAGCTAAGATCTGAAGAATAAAAAGGGTTGAGTCTCAAAAAGAGAGTAGTAGGGTAGGAAGTATAGAAAGAGAGAAGATCCTAGACATGGACAAAAAGCCTACCCAAAACAGAACATATCTCAACCTGAAAATTAATGGAAGTGGCATTGAAAGACTATGGAGCTGGCAACGGAGGAGTAGCAAGAGATACAGCTAGAAGGCAAGGCAGGAGCCAGATAAGGATGGACTTTGTTAAACACATTTAAGAGTCTGCGTTTATTCTAATAGCCACTGAAAGCCACAGAAACTCTTTTAGCAGGAAAGGGGCGTGATCAGATTTATACTGTAGACAGATCACTCAGGCTAACCTGTGAAGCGTGGCTTCAAGGGGAACACAGCCAGCAACTGTTTTAGCAATTAGGTGGCATGGTGTAACGGAGACAATGGAGAGAAGTGAATGAATTCTACCAATATTTAGGAGGTGAAATCAGCAGAGCAAGATGATTTATTGAATGGGAGAGATGGAAGGAAGCAGAATTCACAGGAGAGTACAGTCTAATTGTGTTGTTGAATGTCTCTCAATTTGCCTTTGTCTGGTGGTTTCTCCTTGGTTGGTTTCAGGTTATGCATTTTGGAATATGACATAAGCGATCTGTGTCCTTCATCAAGAGGCACATGATTTCAGCCGGTCCCATCGTTAGTGATGTTAACTTTGGTCACTTAGTTAAGGCGGTGTTTGACAAATTTCTCCAGTCTAAAGTATCTTTTATAACATTCCAATTAATAAATAATCTGTGGGGAGATGCTCTGAGACTAAGTATCTGATAACCCAACAAATTTTCACTCAGTGCTTTTAGTATCCATTGATGATTCTTGCCCAAATCAGTTATTCTTATGATGGTTGCAAAATGGTGACTTTCTAATTCTGTCATTTCTTCTATATTTACTAGTTATCTGACAGTTAATAGAATATAAACAAATGAACCAAAAAAGCGCCGCTTCTTCAGTTTGCTTGTTTATATTTTTCACTATTAACATGGACTCAATATCTTATTCAGTGTACTATAATTCATTACTGTCAGTAATCATTTTGATGCTCAAATTTTTCCTGACTTAAGCTGGCTTCAGTGACCTTTTCGTACAGACCACTCTCTGATTTTCTCACACCAAAAGATATTTCAGACTCAGTGTTTACTTTCCCTGCTCCAGGAATGGGACCAGCTATTTTCCGATTGAATCTGGTTTTCTTTAAGAAAGGAATAGTATTTAAAACTCAGATCTGAGCCCTAGATATGCTTAGACAGTTTTGACTGTGAGATGCCCAGTCTCTTTGAAAAATTATAATTATTACCAATTTTTAGAAAGATTAACTCTGAGCTAACATCTGCTGCCAATCCTTCTCTTTTTGCTGAGGAAGATTGGCCCTGAGCTA